TGTCATTTTTCGGGTGGAACTAATTAGAATAGACAAAGAGAAATTCCGCTCCGCGCGGAAAATTCCGCCTAGTGGAAACATAGATATAGGAGATCTAGATTGCTAACGCATACCTAGCGCAGGCGGGGCCTACATGATAAATCCAAGATGGCGGTACAAGAGGGCAAAAAGACTATAGATTCTACTACGAAAATCAAGATTTTCGCATTTTTTGCCGTCGCATTGTTTTGAAACTTATTCGGTCAAATTTTATGGTAAAGAGAAACGTACCGCGAAGATTTAGAGCATATATATGATTGAATTGGATGAAAACTCGCAAAATTATCCAGCGATAAAAGTTCGTGTGAAATGGTCAGTTGGTCAGTTGGAACGTTTATTGCCAGAAATACTGTGCTATGTTAACATCTAGTCTTGTGAATGGTGTTTTATACTTGCATCTTTCATCATCATCTGCTCTGTCCTCATAATTATGAAATATGAACTGTTATGTACCCCCCCCCCCTTGCTTGTTAGAGAAGTAAACTGATGAGAGCACTGGATAAGGGTCTATCGTCTATGGTCTGTTATAATTTGCTTTCTATGCAAATAGTGAGCAAAAATTAAAGCAAAACTGTACAAGTTACATATATAGTACTATATCAGTACTATACACGAACTTTTATCGCTGGATAATTTTGCGAGTTTTCATCCAATTCAATCATAAATATGCTCAAAATCTTCGCGGTAAGTTTCTCTTTACCATACAATTTGACCGAATAAGTTTTAAAACAATGCGACGGCAAAAAATGCAAAAATATTGATTTTCGTAATAGAATCTATAGTCTTTTTGCCCTCTTGTACCGCCATCTTGGATTTATCATGTAGGCCCCGCCTGCGCTAGGTATGCGTTAGCAATCTAGATCTCCTATATCTATGAGTGGAAAACGGCCTTAAAAGCCAGTTTTCCGCTAGGCGGAATTTTGCCGCGGAGCGGAATTTTTTTTTTGTTTTCTGATTTCTCGGGTGGAACTAATTAGAAAAGACAAAGAAAGATTCCGCTCCGCGCGCAAAATTTCGCCTAGTGGAAAGCAGGCTTAACAACAACGTGGTTTTCTTCAATAGACAGACGCCAGCTTTGTAGATTTTTCACCATTGAATCACCAGCAACAACAGTGCTGTCACATTTTTTGCATGTTTTGCATTAAATGTAAAAGACTGGTCTTCTGGCAAATTATATTCACAGGGTGTCCCAAAAAACCCGAAAACTATTGAAATCACTTATTGTTAAATTTGAATGCCCTACCAAAGAGCTGGCAGGAGTTTCAGAATGATATGAAGTAGGCGGCTGTACCAAAAAAGTAGCCGGCTGGGGCGTGCCCTCCCATGGAGGAAAATTTTCGCCGCAAATTAACAATCAAATCAGAACATAGAAAAAGTAAAAAGACAAAACAACTGTTAACATGTTACATTTAGATGTCATTTGCATTTATACTTGTAAGTGACAATGTACTTTAATGTGCTACCTGTAGTTTAATTTTTGAAGTTGCATGAACAGAATGACAATGTACATATTAGTATTAATTTATGAGTCCGAAATCGTTAATCAAATGAAGTTATACTTATGTACGTAATGAACTTTACTTCATCACTTTATCATAATTAATTCACTGTCAATAATTAGTCACTTGAAAAACATTTACCAAAGTAGCTCTGAATCTGACTCGTTCTCTGGCTCGCTGGCAAATTCGGATTCCCCAATGTTAAGCACTGCCAGTGTCAATCAGAGTCATCTTCCTGTTCAGAAAGATTCAGAGCCGCTGACCGTTTGGCGTTTGCATCTTATTGATCTTCCAAAATGAGTGATGTTTTTCCATGCTTGAATTCCAACTGGAACATGACAAACACCGTGTTGGTTCGCTTGTACCGCTTTGTACATAAAATTTTCCCTGTAACCAGACGAAAAGTAGCCGGCGGTAAAAGTTCAAATAGCCGGCGGAACTCCGGCGGCCGCCGGCTTATTCTGAAACCCCTGACTGCTGGACGTAATGATGCGTAAAATATTGACAAGGTGCATGTATTAGAATTTAGTTAGGAATATAATATCTCCTGGTAAAGTGCGCGATTTTTCTGCTCCTGGGAATTAAAAACAGCTTCTTAAACAGTTCCTTTATGCAATCATTTATGCACTCGTGGGAACCACGCGCTAAGGCATTCAAATTCTAACAATTAAATTGTTATTGGTGATTTCAATAGTTTTCGGGTTTTTTGGGACACCCTCTGTAGAGGCAACGCCAATGTCATCCCCGAGCCGACGGCGCGAAGCGCCGTGCGAGGGTACTAATTCCCCCCGGCTATTTACACCCGGGGAAACGAAAGCATTAGCGAAGTCTAAAGTTCATCTAATATCGCGGGCGTGGCTCACCAACGAAGTTTCGGTGGGTGGTCATCCTCACTGATCTCAAAATATGTGGCGGACTGTCATGAATAGCGAAAACTGATTGGTCCAATTTAAAGTTTGCATTATAACGACTGCATGACGACAGCTAAATAGCAAACATTTCTTGATTTGATGATTGATAAATTTCTTGCAAATATCACAAATATATTTCATTTTCGCTCGCATTTTCGCAAGATTTTGTAAATTTCAAGAAAGAAACAGCGAAAGAATCGGCTAAAAGAAGTGAGCCAACGTTAACGAAGGTAACTTTGTTTTAAATACTGATTTTATAATGGATTTAATTTAAAACCCGACGGCCTTTGCATATATGAAACAACTAAACAAGACAGCATATTATTTCAGTGTATCTTTAGTAATATTGATTCCCTTTTTTATGATATTGAATTTTTTAAATAAAAAAGAAAGCAGAGTTATTTGCAAGCGAGAATTCGAAGTCATTTTATTGCAAACTCAAAGTTTATCGATAAAGCCATTTTAAAAGTCAGTTTAGTTTTATAAAGAACACTAGTGACTTTAAAACGTTTTGCGAAGCGTTTGTGGTTGAATTTTACCTTGAATTAACATTTGCCGACGGCTGATTGATTACTTTTTTAGCAGATTTCTTCTTTTTATACTTGCGCTTTAATGGTTTTGGAGATTTAGAATTCTCCTTAACAAGTAAAACAGTACAAATCAGCCTCTCCGTTTTCGTTTCTTGCAATTATATTTATATCAGGTTGCCTTTCTCAACCTGATTAATCTGAGCCTTATACTGTTGATTTCCATTTGTGTAATTATTTCAACGCTTGAAACCGGGCCTTGCTGTTTAAGGCAAGTCTTATGGGCTTGGTGGAAATCGTCATAACATATTTTCAAGGTCGTCGTTAAATTGACATTTTCATTCTCGAGCTCTTTAATTTTTGCATTTAAGTCAGATAATGCAGATGTAGCAGTAAATAGACTATCCTTTAGAGCTTGATTTTCCTCCTTGACACTTAAGTTCTCTTGCCGTAGAGTGTTCTTATAGTCACCCCCACTGTCTAAACAATATTTCTTAAGATTGTTCAAATCATTGGCCAATTTCGAGGTTTTATCAACAAGTTTTTTCTCAAGCTGTTTAATGTGAGCATCGATATTATTGAGCTTTCCTTCAGTGATCTTCATTTCGCTTGAGCTAAGTGGGACAGATATAGATTTTATAGTATAATTGTTCATATCTTCATTAATATGCGTTGTCGAAGCTTTGCCTTCGCAGATTTAATTCAACTCAACCCGTAGGATATCCTTTTGACTTGTTGTCTTTTTAGATAGTTCCCTATCAATCAAAGCTATTAGTTTATCTTTCATTACCTGTCCGCCCTCTCCACCAAATGTAAGAGACTGTTGCCTCGCACCGTACCATGTCATTTCGAAACGGCCTTCGACACTCTTAAATCGCTTCGCTCCACCACCAGGCGAAGACCACTTGCCCTGTTCTTGTAACAACTCGCTCATAGGATTCATAATTAAGCATTTCTAGGCTTCCTTTCCATAGTAATCGACTACTATTTAGTTGTAAATGTTGTAGGAGTCGTGAACCATCACATTGAATTAAACTGTGTTTGACTTCAAAATCGTTGTTGTTGTCAGAACTAAGATCTTTACTATTTTCTAGCAGAATAGGTTCTGTTTGTTTTGTGTTAGTAGTTTCCCAGATGCTAGAAGAGTGATCGTTTACAAAATCTAGTAAAGATTCAGCTAGATTTTGGCTCAGATTGGCGGAACTCTCACTGACACGTCCTGTCGCCATCATATCCGGATATGATGCAATGTAGTACTTACGCAGATTTTAGAGCAAACTAGAATTTACGCTCGCTGCATGATTATAGCGTCGTTGTTTTGAGAGTTCAACCTTATCATTCTTGCTGAGGATATCGATTAATTTTGAATGAATTTCATTTAAAGGCGAAAAGTCCCAATATTTCCGAAATCACAGCCGTGCGCTGGCGCGGGCAAATCCTATAGGCCTCCTCACACATTGTTTTGAATATTAAAGACTGCAATGACCCCTGACGGGTAAAGAATCCTCTCCCGGGAGTTTGGAAGAAACAAGGCAACATGGAAATGACTTAGCAACTCGAAAGCAGAACAAGACAATCACAGGAACAAAAAATATAGGTTATTAATTAGTTAGAAGGAACTTCTTGCACTATCGAATCCTGTATAAAAAAACTCTTACCATGTGAAGATATGGGTAAACAACAAATTTTGTTGGCATCTCAGTCAATTGACTAGAAACACATGCATGCAGTAACCCCTCGCCAATATTTTCCAAACATGAAATTAACATGAAGTATTCAGAAATGGCCGATACTGAACGCGTTGCCATGACAACACGATAACAAGTGTTGCCATGACAACACGATATCTTAAATTTTTAAATTTTTCATATTTTTGTACAAAACTGCAAAATATAGTTGAAAGATTCGTATTTTTAACTATACAACAATAAATTTCCGAAATATACACTGTAGGTATATTATTTTGCATTTTGTGAGCTTTGATTTAATGTAAAATTTAACTTGAAACGCTTCGTGAAATTTTTGAAATGTTCATTC